TCCAGTGTTTCCTGGGGTATGGGCCTCTGACATACCAGGGAGGGCAGAGAAGGCACCTCCTGTGCAACTTAAGGAAAACAACCAGCTAGGGTCAGGCAGTAAAAGCCTGATCTGCCCCCAGTGGTGGGAAACCCATATACCTTGCTAACATGTTTGACACCTGAACTAACTTAGTTTACCATTTTAGATCTGAAAGATGCCTTCTTTTGCCTCCCTATCCATGAAGCCAGCCAGAAAATTTTTGCATTCAAATGGGAAAGCCCCAAAAGCTGGCACAAAACCCAGCTCACGTGGATTGTGTTGCCTCAAGGCCTTCAAGGCTTCAAAATTCCCCTACGCTGTTTGGGGAACAACTTGCAAAAGATCTAGAGTCCTGGGAAGCCCCACAGGAAGAAGGAAGGCTATTGCAGTATGTGGATTATCTCCTAGTAGCCACTCAGACAAGAGAAACATGTGTGGCCTGGACAGTAAGCCTTCTGAATTTCCTAGGGCTCCAAGGATACAGAGTATCAAAGAAAAAAGCACAGGTAGTGAAACAGAAGGTAATCTGCCTGGGATACAAGGTTACTGCTGGGCAATGGACTTTAGGGCAGGAACACAAGGAAGCCATATGCCAAACCCCGAAATCCCAGACAATAAAGGAACTCCGAACCTTCTTAGGCATGGCAGGGTGGTGCCGGCTGTGGGTTTATAATTATGGACTGTTCATCAGACCCCTCTATGCTCTTATTGCCAATCCTCAGCTAGAGGATCACATTTCATTTAAGTAAACAGCTCAGAGAAATTGAAAACATGTGGCTGGAACTCAGAGGAGGGAGCTAGATGGACCAGTACATAACATACAGCCTGGGGATTATGTATATGTTAAGTCTCTTACAGAAAAGACTTTGGAAGCACAGTGGGAAGGACCATTCCAGGTGCTTCTCACCACCTCCACTGCAATCAAGATCAAGGAGCAGAATGCCTGGATCCACCACTCTCGAGTGAAGAAGGCCCCAGAAGCCCCTTGGAGAGTGACACCAGGAGACAATGAACTGAGACTAAAATTTACTCAGGCAAAATGAGTATATTGTGGCCAGGGGTAGGTTGTAATTTCATTTACAGAATTGTTTTGTGTACAATTATAATTGGAGTCTTAGAATTAGAGAGTACCTCTATCCAAACTGATGCTGAATGGCCTTGGTCCCAGGCTTTTAATCAGTATACTGGATCCATGAGAGAACCTTCTCCTATAAAAGATTTAAACCTATCCACTGTAGTAATCCACGGGAATCAGGTATATGAGAAGCAGGACTGACAGGAATGGGAACTGTGGACACTTCAAGGGATCAAAGGAGAAGAAATCAGGGTAGAATCCCAGGTGGTCAATAGGACCACTCATGAGAGACCAAATCAAATTAGTGTCTCAGCCTCTCCTGTATACAGGTACCAGGAGATTGTGATAGCCCAAATAAATCAGATTGTTGTAATTTCACATTAATACAGCCTGTAGAAGTGACTTGTCTTTGGGCTCATGATGCTATCAGGCTGTCATTTAAATTTAATATAGATGCTATAATTGCTAATGCAAATAAACATCTCAGAAATCCAAACAGACTGTTCCTCTTTCCTAAGGACATCCTTTGAGGGCTGGACAATGTGGTTACAAAGACAAGTACACCTCAGGAGCAGAATAAGAAGATCTAACTGGGATATTAGGGAAAGGATTGGGAGTTTTAAATGGAATTGATGGAAACCAGTAAAATGAATATGTATGAACCTATTGTGAAATTCTATGCATATGTACCAGTAAGTTCTCAGGGGTGCACATATCCTTTAGGGGAACAATCCCCACACATGCGTCCAGTGCTGTAATAAACATACTGGCTTTACAACTTTTACAAGTTGTGGAGTTTTTTTCCTCCCACAAATCAGTATGAAATGATGAATTTGATTCATCTAATGAAATTAACAGGATGTTACGGAGAAATTATTTTTTTTTCTGCAAGAATACAGAAACTTAAAGTATCCAAAATTTAATGACCTTTTAACATTTAAGTGGTTACTAGTTCTTCGCTTTTGCAAAACTGAAGTTCACTGCAATTTTTGGTTTTTGGGTATATGCTAACACTAACTTAGACGTTAAACAAGTGTAAAAAAAACCTTGATGATAAACAGGTTTTCTAAAATGTACACATTTTTTTCTGTGAATATTTCCATTGTTTGCCTTTATTAGACACCATAAAAAAAACCCTATAAAATATTTTTGCAAAGTAAGCATTAAATGGATGTTTTAATACCACCTCCTTGGCAAGTTTTATTTTTCAAACAATATGTCTCTCTTGTTTTTTGGTGGGATTTCTGGGAGTTTGGTTTTTTTTGGTTCCTCTCCCAAGTTTACATTTGCTCTAATGTTGCCTTCTATTTCTATTTTCCAAGAATAAATGTCCATTCTAATGTATGCAAGTAACTACAGGCAGTGCTGATTACAATTACTCCCTAAGGGTGCCTATTCCTTTCTATTTTAGTTCAATTTAACTGACAAATTTCAATTCTTGAGCATGGTATTTTAGCACTTACACTGTATCTCTCAGGGTAAAGCTTTTGAGTTTTAGCAACAATTTAGTTGTTTTCAAGTATGAAGCAAAATACAGCAGGAAAGAAAAAAGCAGATCACATTATTTATTCAAGTCTAGCTCTTTTGGATCTTCACACAATACACTAAAGTCTTCAATTTCATCATAGGAAAATGTGAATTATGATGCCCCAGTGTTTATGTGCACAAATGGCTAGATTTCAAGTTTGGAAAATAAAAATAAACCAATCTTGAATATTGGTTCCTTCTAACTTGTAGGAACTTGACACAATTCTTCTAATTTAGTTTTTATTTCTAGCTATATAAAGAGACTGATACTAATGTGTGTGTTTAGATTTCCTAATATTTTCTATTATTAAAACTACTTAGGCTCTTTCTGAAAAGCTCTGGCATCTCTGGCTTGTAACAGGCTTCTAGCATAAAGGTCAGGAGAAGTTCTGTGTCTAGAAAAATATATTTCTTCAGTCTACAAAATTTTATCTGTAACTGTCAGAAATCATATATATTTTAAATGTCTTTTTTTTTTTTTTGTCAGTAGGACTTTGCCAACAAGCCAAAAGAACAACTGAATACACAAACTTCAATGGTGATTCGTGGCACTGGCAATGCATCGGGTACCAAGAGTGTTACTGAACAAGTTAAATTTCTTTAATAAGAAGTCTATGAAGCACTGGGGGCAGATGTTGGAACATTCTTTTAACTTTAGCACAATAGTGTATGATCCCTGTATTTGTGGTTAATGTTTACTTTTGTACCATACAGTGCTTATGCAAATACCAGAGATGATTGTGACCTTGTGTTAACTCCCTATATCTGTGACTAATAAGTCTTCTGCCAGCTAATGCATCCTTGTTTACTTCTATCAGTGATTAATATGTATTAGCTGATATCTTAGTTTTGAGAACAAGGATTGTGTGTCAGAGCAAAGAATAAGTGAAGTACATTATGACCTGATGACATGCTTGAGATACTCTGAAAGAGAAAAGATTCATCAGATCTAGAACCATATCCAAAGAAGTCCATGGAAATAATTAGCATATATGCATGTATTCAGGAAATGTGATGAATATGCATTAGTTTCAGGAACATAACCTGGTCTGTTAGGTTGCTGCTCATGCATGCTTTGAGAAGAATCCCCCATGTATCCAGCACTGCTAATAAAGTAATGTTGGCTTTCTAACCTAGCAAATTTGTTGGAGAGTTTATTTCCTGTTTTTCAGAGACAAGAGCAAGACAGGAAGCACTTTTAGAGAGAACTGAGACACACCTAGGCCTGAAATCTCTCATGAAATCCTCATAGGTAAACTCAGGAAGTATGGACTGAATAAGTGGACAGTGAGGTGTATTGAGAACTGGCTGAACGGCAGATCCCAGAGGGTTGTGATCAGTGGCACAGGGTCTAGTTGGAGGCCTGTCACTAGTGGTGCTTCCCAAGGTTCTATACTGTGTCCAGTATTGTTTAATGTGTTCATCAATGACTTGGACAAAGGGGCAGATGACTCCTCAGCAAGTTTGCTGATGGCACAAAGCTGGGAGGAGTGGCCAATACCCCAGGGTGCTGTGCTGCTCTTTAGAAGGACGTTGACAGGTTGGAGAGATGAACAGAGAGGAACTGCCTAAAATTCAACAAAGGCAAGTGAAGGGTCCTGCATCTGTGGAGGAATAACCCCCAGGCACCAGTACAGGCTGGGGGTGACCTGCTGGAAAGCAGCTCTGCAGAGAAGGACCTGGGGGTCCTAGTGGACAAGTTGTCCATGAGCCAGCAGTGCCCTTGTGGCCAAGAAGGCAAATGGCATCCTGGGGTGCACTGGGAAGAGTGTTGCCAGAAGGTCGAGGGAGGTGATCCTGCCCTTCTATTCAGCCTTGGTGTGCTGGAGTGCTGTGTCCAGTTCTGGGCTCCTCAGTACAAGAGAGACATGGAGCTCCTGGAGCAGGTCCAGCAGAGGGCTATGAAGTTGATCAAGGATCTAGAGTATCTCTCTTAAGAGGAAAAGCTGAGGGAACTGGGCCTGTTCAGCCTTGAGAAGAGGCAAGTGAGAGGGGACCTCATCAATGTCTATAAGTACCTAAAGGGTGAGTGTCAGAGGATAGAGCCAGGCTCTTCTTGGTGATGCCAACCAATAGAACAAGAAGCAATGTGCAGAAACTGATGCACAGGAAGTTCCAACTGAATATAAGGAAGAACTTTATTCTGTTAGTGACCATGCACTGGAACAGGTTACCCAGAGAGGTTGTGTAGTCTCCCTCACTGGAGATATTCCAGATCCATCTGGATGCAGTCCTCTGCCATGTGCTCTGAGATGACCTTGCTTGAGCAGGGAGGCTGAACCAGATGACCCACTCTGGTCCCTTCCAACTTACCCATTCCGTGATTCTGTGACTCATTGCTTCCTTTCTGGCTGCGCCTTAGAACAGATACTATGAGAAATAACAACATTCCTTGTTCTTCATCTATGTGCCTGCTGTGTGTTGCAGTATTTTAAAGGATGCTTTTCTAAAAGTATGCCTGGGTTTATTCTTTGGCTACTTAGTAAGCAATATTGAGGGTACTTACATACTTTTGAGCTTCTGTTAAACTATATTTGTACAGTATATCTTTCATGAAGTATAGCACAGAAACTGGATTTTTTTTTTTTTTTACTTTAAATATTTTAAAAAGCAGAAATAATTGCTCCTCATTTTTTCTGGTCAGCAAGCTTATTACAATTGTAAAACATTTCTCATTGAAATAATGCCAACTATTAGAACTGTCTTGACAATGTTAGCACTCTTCCTGCCAAAACCGAAAAGTCTACATTAGGAAGCAGCACAGTGCAACAGGATTTGGTCTATGAAACAAAAAAGTCAAAGTTGAATTTACCTCCACATATATACGCTTCGGAGATTTTGGTTCAGACTAAGTTTGTGCAGTCCACAGATTGAACATTTATTAATATTTGGAACACAAGTTGCACTCCTGGAGAGCATCATTTAAGATAGTCAGTGTAAAAGAATGCTCCAAAACCACTCAGCTGCAAGAATTGAGATAGGTAACCAGTTACAACCTAGAGAACTGTGTCTACGTGACACTGACTAAAATGCCAACGGTTACACATCCATAGACTAGTACTGTGGTATTTAGTCTTGCAGAAACAACATATTAATGATTGCAGGAATTGCTGTGAATTATTCTTTCAAGCAGCTTTTCTGTTATCACAGAGCTATCTGGGCACAGCTGACATTATTTTCTACCAGTTTCAGTAAAGTCCAAGCAATTCAGAGTAGGCTGTAAGAAAAAAATAGATTCTTTGATAGAGTAAAGGAAAAAAGTGCTAAAATATAGAATAAGAATGCTACCCTCAAAGAATTCCAAACAAGAAAATTTCTTTTGAAAAAATGTTTTCAGCTCCACATGGCAAAACCACAGAAAATTAAAAATTTAGAGGCAATCTGGATCATTTGTTGGGAAAACTAAAAAATCAACCAACCAACCAACCAACCAACAAACCACCCAAGCAAAACCCTACATTACTCCTTTTAAAAACCTAAAATTTAAAATTGTAGTAACACATTCCCATGCTTTATTTACAGTGGATTAAAAAAGCCCCAATGTGCATTAAAATGACTCATTCAAAAGAATACTCACCCAGCTTGGAAACTCAGACCAAGTTGGAACCCGCTGACAGAGGTCACGAAGAATACGTATGATAACCACACAGGACTGCAGACCATTAGCTCTAGCCTTGAGAACAATACAAAATCAAATTAACGCCAGCAGATACAGCAAATAGGACTTGTTGAAAGACTAAAACACCGCTGTTCAATGGAAGCTCAGATACAAGGCTGAAACAAATCATTCTACAACTTTTTTCTAAGAGCTGCCATTTACAGCAGTATTTTATACAGGGTTAGTAATTTAAGGTGATAGAAGTCAAAGTGCACAGGTTATACAAGAATAACATTTCTTGATCCCCTATACACTTTGACCTATGTTCACCTGCAACAATACAGTATTTTTCTATATTAGAAATAAAAATAAAGGTCTAAGAAATAGGTATAGAGATGGAAAGGTGAAGGGACTCTGTTTGGTTTCTTTATTGTGCCTTTGCCAGAATGCAAAGTCACTAAACCAAACAGTTGCTTCTTGCCTTTCATTCCCTACACTTAAAGAAATAGGAAAAAAGTCGTAAATCTAAACACAAAGCTTTAAACACATATTCCATTATTTAAAGCAAAATTACTCTGCAGCCTTATGGAACACATAACAAATACACAACATATGATCGCCCCAAGTGAGTCAAGTTTTCAACATTGCTTTCTCGATGACCAGAAAAAGAAATAAAAAAGGTCAAATGAACAATAACTGTGTAGAGCAGTTCCTCCCTACTCAACCTTCTACACTTAAATTCAGGGACCAGAAAAATATTAAGTATTATTAGCATGAACAACACTGAGTGTTTTCACACAGTTAAACATTTATATTGCAACTGAACTAATCTCTCATAAGGCTACAAGAAGAAAGTAAAATGATGTTCCGAACCTGGAACCACTTAGCGTGGCGTAGAGCAGCCAGAGCGTCAAGGCATTTTTGCCTGTCCAAGACGTCCGGTGGGTCTTTCACCATACCCGAGGTTACATCTAAAATGGATTGAATTGGCAAAATGCAGTGAGGAATGGGTGTTTGACCATTTAAAGTAGCTTCAATGTCACACATGCCATTTAAAGCTTGAACCCATGAACAACAAATGTAATTGTTCAATAAAAGTAATTCAATTAGTATTGGGCATTAACCCAGTATGAAGATTGTAGAATCATATTAAACTTTAGCTGTCACGTTATTTTCAAATGCATTGCAGATTATGCAATACATAGTACTTCTTTCTTTAAGCTAACACTGGAAAAACATATCCCCTAAAATTGAATAGCAAAGGAAGAATGGTTGGACACAGTGCACCAGCACAGAGACCACAAGACAGAAGGAACACTAAAATTCTGTAGTATTGCATTTTATTTAAATGGTATGCCCTGTCTCACCCCTCCAAAATGTATGGTATATCCTAAGCCTGTGGTCCTGACCTGAACCATCATGTACCTGTAATCCCATTGGCCCAAGTCTGATTCCGCATCCACTTCAATTCCTCTCTTAAGCTGTGCTAGCGAAATCAGTCCCTCTCTTAGCCTTTTCCCCTCCTCTTAGCCCTTCCGCTCTCCTAGCCTTCCCCTTCTCTTGTCCCTTCCCTCCCCTAGGCTCCCCCTCCTTCCCCCTTCCCCCCCAGTAACCATGCTGTTCCCAGGGATGGGACCCCCAATAAACTCTCATCTAATCAGCACCCTCAGAAGCCGCATGAAGTCTCCTTGCCTGCCTGCTGCTGCCAGCCAGCTCACAGCCTAGGGGGCCCTCCGGGGACACCCCGGGGTGCCCCCCCCCCAAAACGAACCGCAACAAAAATCCACTTTAACAAAGTAGAAATATTCACTGTAGCTATGATATTTTATTAAAAATCCTTTCCTAGGATTTTTCCCTCCTGAGAGCTGAGGGCCTCAGGAAAGAAATTTAAACAATAATTATCTGCTGCTGTGGAATGCAACAGGTGCATCTTCCATTGGTCCATGTGGATTGTTTTCAATTGATGACCAATCACAGCCACCTGTGCCAAGGCTGTGAGCAGTCAGGATTTTGTTATGCATTCTATTCTATTCTTGTTCTTTGTAGCCTTCTGATCTTTCTTTTCTCTCTGTTCTTTTAGTATAGTTTTCATGTAGTATTTTAATATAATATATAAGATAATAAATCAGCCTTCTGAGAAAATGGAGTCAAGCCTCGTGTCTCCACACATTCTTACTCATATAAATTCCTCAGTCCATGATATATGTGCTCCAATATAATTGAGGATGCAAGGAAGGATCTGAATAGGAACTGCTTTACTTATGATTCAGCAAGAAAAAGAAAAGCCAAAAAAGAAAAAACCAAAGCAGACTATCTGAAAGAGGGGCCAGAAGGAGAATCTGGGGAACTACAGGCCTGTCAGCCTGACCTTGGTACCAGAGAATGTCATGGAGCAGATCATCTTGAGTGCCATCATGCAGCACATACAGGACAACCAGGGATTCAGGCCAAGCCAGCATGGGTTTAGGAAAGGCAGGTCCTGCTTAAATGACCTTATCTCCCTCTATGACAGGGTGACCCACTTAGTGGATGAGGGAAAGGCTGGGGATCTTGTCTACCTAGACCTAGTAAAGCCTTTGACACCATTTCCCACAGCATTCTTCTGGAGAAACTGGCTGCTCATGGCTCAGACAGGTGCACGTATTCTTGAGTAAAAACCTGTCTGGACAACCAGGCCCAGAGTGGTGGGGAATGGAGTTACATCCAGCTGGCAGTCAGTCACTAGTGGGGTTCCCCAAGGCTCAGTACTGGGGCCAGTCCTGTTTAATATTTTTATCAATGATGTGGATGAGGGGATTGAGGGCACCCTCAGTAAGTTTGTAGATGACACCAAGTTGGGTGGGAGTGTTGATCTGCTCAAGGGTAGGAAGGCTCTGCAGAGGAATCTGGACAGGCTGGATTGATGGGCTGAGGCCAATGGTATGAGGTTCAACAAGGCCAAGTGCCAGGTCCTGCACTTGGGTCACAACAACCCCACACAGCACTACAGGCTGGGGGGAGAATTGGCTGGAAAGTTGCTTGGCAGAAAAGGACCTGGGGACATGGCTGACAGCGGCTGAACATGAGCCACCATGTGCCCAGGTGGCCGAGAAGGCCAATGACATCCTGGATTGCATCAGCAATAGTGTGGCCAGCAGGACTAGGGAAGTGACTGTCCTGCTCTACTTGGCACTGGTGAGGGCACACCTCAAATCCTGTGTTCAGTTTTGGGCCCCTCAAAACAAGACAGACACTGAGGTGCTGGAGTGTGTCCAGAGAAGGACAACGGAGATAGTGACAAGTCTAGAGCACAAGTCTTATGAGGAGTGGCTGAGGGAGCTGGAGGTGTTTATCCTAGAGAAAAGGAGGCTCGGGAGGGACCTTAGCACTCTATAACTACCTGAAGGAGGTTGTAGCAAGGTGGTTATTGGTCTCTTTTCCCAAGTAACAAACAATAGGACAGGAGGAAATGGCCTCAAGTTGTGCCAGGAGAGGTTTAGATTGGATATTAGGAAAAATTTCTTCAAGGAAAGGGTTGCCAAGCATTGGAAGAGACTACCCAGGGAAGTGGCTGAGTCACCATCCCTGAAGGGATTTAAAAGAAGTATAGATGTGGCACTGTAGATTCAGTGGACTTGGCAGCGTTAGTTTAACAGTTGGAGTTGATGATCTTGAAGGGCTTTTCCAACCTAAATGATTCTATTATTCTATTATTCTAAAATATGGTAGATCTTTTATATTTAAATGTTCAGAAAATGATTAATTACAAAGCAGATTGCTTTGTTACCAAAATGGAAAAGACCACAAGACTCTTTTGGAAATGGTTTAAATCAATGAAACTGGAACCACTGAACAATATGAAATGGTACCTTCAAGTTACTTTAGAAATTGTAGGGATATCACTTTTAAAAGTATTGTGTTTTACTAATTATGAAAATGGCTATTGTGACTAGTGACAAAGTATACTGATAGCATAACTGGTGATACACCAGACAAGATGAAAAAAAAAGTCTTCACTCAATGGCACTCATTTCACAGGAGCTGGCTGAATGGAATATAATTTACTCCAGCAAGATATAAAGTTAGGTAACTCCGAGAATAGAAGTTATATATATATATAGTCGCATGAAACATGCCAGCAAGTAGGGATGCTGCAGACAGACAGACCAGAAACCACCTATTTACACACAAATGCAAAATAAATAGTAGGATACTTTAAATAGTAGGATACTTTAGAGAGAACTAAAAAGCTATGAATGAACATGGTTCTATAACTTTGCAAAATTTAAATCTGAAGTACTCCATTCAGATTTGGGCACTTTTTTATAGGATAGTCCCATTGCCCTGCATGGGGCTAAAAGGGGGAAGATTTCAAAATAAGAACAAAGTTAAGAACATAGATATCTTCTCAAACAGATGTTTGAACTTATGGACTATATATTAAAGTGGAAAGAAGAATAACTGAACCAACAAGGTATTTACACAGCAAATGAAGACATTTAAAGTGGCATTTCATTTAAAACAAAACAAAAATCAAACTGACACCTATACAAGAGGGGTGCCAGGTAAGATAACTGACAAAACAACTAAAACTTGGATATAAAAAGACAAGGAGTATATTTAGAGGAAATGCACAGCAGGAAAATAAGAGGCAAAATAAGGCTGAGAAATTAAAAATGTGTCTCTTCTGTCCAGTAGCCTAATCAGTCAGTTTTTTAGTCTTTTAAAGCTACTATGCAAATAGATTATACTGTGCAAACTTTAATCACAATAACTCACTACATAATTTGAAACTCCAATTACTTCTAGCTCCAAAAAAATTCAATTTGGAAAACAATTTTACTAAAAAGAATTACAGTTTAAGTGCACAGAAGAGAATCATACACAGTGCTGGAAATGTCAATCTAAAATGTGCTACTACTAGGTATCATATGAATATCCTTGAAACTTAAAAATACTAAGAAGTTGTAAGACACCTAATTGCACTGAGAATATATTGACTGGAAAAAAATGTATCAAGGAAACTCTTGTAATACTTAATCTGTGAATTTTTGCATCTATTTTACATTTTAGGATTAACCCCTTAAATAGTCTTTAACTAAATTCAGATGCCTAACCTACCACCCTGTTGAGCTAAGACAAAAAAAAGTTGAATTAATTTACAAAACACAAGCACAAATTCTTACCCTATATAACCTAATTTATTACTACCCTAAATATAAGGGGTTAATCTTCAATTAGATGTCCTGTGTCCACACTACTTCGTCATTAAAAGTTAACAGGCGTATCAATTTTACTAAGTTTTATTACACAGAATACATTTTACCCAGTCAACTATTTGAAAACTAGTATGAACACTGCTTAATTCTAGGATAGAGACAAAGACAAAAAGAAAAAAACCCATAGTAACAGTAGGTCCTAGGACTATGCGTCCAAACCCCTCCTTTGTAAAGTATGGCAGGTGTGACACTGAGCTTTACAAAACCTTGGTCAAAAATCCTTCCGATGTCTTGATAGAAACCTCTGACAGGAATCAAGACCCTTTGCTAGAAAGCTTAGGACTGGGGCTGTTAGCTAAGGATAAAAAAATAAAGACACGTGCACATATATATATGCTTTTATAAATATGTACACTTTGTTTGCTGAAGGAAAGAATCCACAGCTGGGTTAGAGCCCTTTGAATATATCCAATTTGGTAAACTGTCAAATGCACAATAATGTAAGCAACAGTAGCTATGTGGTTAACAGTTTTATTTCACACTGGTTTTGGTTTGTTTCTTTTTAGCTTTTTATAATGTAATGGGATTATTACACTTCAAACATGTTTCTATTCCTCATGCAAGTCTCAGTCTCATCTTTACTTAAACTTCAGGCTAAAAATTAAAAAAAAGAAAACTTTAAACCATTGTAAGACACAGAGCATGAGGAGCTGCAGTAAGAAAAAAACCACATACTATTACTCTGCAGCAAAAAAGCAGAAGTCTTCATAGTAAGGCCTCCTTTGCTGCAACAATTTGCAATTCAGTCTTCTATTTGCTCTAGCTTCAAAAGTGAACTTTTTATACTGCTCAGTGTCTTGAAAAGAAATCTAACTTGATTTTGCTTGCCTAGAGGCAGTACTCCAGCAGTGAATAAACTCATTTTAACTCAAGTGTGGGTCAGACAAAAGTACAGATTTGTTTCCTTTAGGTGGCATAAATTAAGGGTTTGATCATAATAATTTGAAATTCGTTTTCTTTTTAGTCTACATCATAGAATTTTAGGCCAGAAAATGGAAATTTAGTATTGTGGCAGGATCAGTATTGCACTTTTTCACAGTATGTTAATAAACAAACATGGTGTTTAAGGTTAATTTAATTTAATGCTTAATGTAATTTAATTATCAAATATTTTAAAGCATTCTTTATGAGCTTAAATAATACATGAAGTCTGATTCAGCACAGACAAGTCAAAAGTCATATTACACTTAAGATTTTCAAAAAACAAGTAAACTGGTTGGGTGTGACAGTATATGTACAAAGACTTTATAACTAAGAATAATATGTAAAGCTCAAAAATCATGTACAAAGCACTCTTTAAGACTTCAGAAGTCATCCAAACTATAGAATGTATCTTGACATTTTTCTTTCTGATTATGTAGGATGACTTTGTTAACACAGCTTGCTTACAATGCATTAGTCATAGCTACAGAACATTTACTAATGCAATATAAAAATCTCAAGTAATTTAGAGGACATGTAATGATGAGATGAAATTAAAAAAGTCTCTGTGGCTTATATAAATACATATATACACAAGCACAAGTATACATACATACATACAAATTTTTTCAACCTGCATAGGAGAAGTGTTAAGACAGTCTCAAATTTGCTATACGTAAGTTCACTGTCAAACACCAGAACCCTGTTTGCTATGATCTCTTTCAACTATGAAAATACAGGATTAAAAGGAAACAAAAGTTAGTTTTATCTGACCTGTAAACAAAAGGAACCAACGTACTGTAAACATTAATCATGCTTGTTGGCTTAAAAGCTTTTAAAGCTTGGAAAGCATTACAAAACAGACCTTAAAGCAACATTGCTGGCACCAGAGAAACTGTGAACTTCAGAAAAGTAATTTTATTTACAAATTTCACTTTCTGCTGCAGCTGAAATGACAAAGCCATTTCTAATTTTCTTAGTCTGAGTTTGCCAGTTGGATAGAAGACTGGTTGCAATATCAGGAGCCTAAATACATTCAAAAATAACTCCAGGCCAAAAAGCAACCTCAGAGTGCTGGAAAAAAATTACATCTTCTTTTAAAATTATAGGCACTGTTACCATCAAAAATATTATAAAAGTACATTTTAAGTGGTGCTGATATTTGGAATATGTAAATGATGGTAATACTGATCTAGCTAAAACTTGAAAATGTGATCTTTCTTTTAAGGCAGGACTGCATTAGAAAGCCAGTTTATAGCCACTTGTAATGAAATACTTAGTTTTACCTATAATTTTATAAGAGGGGGTGAGAAAGAATCAAGTTTGTACCTTTTCCAGAAAGCTGAGGTTGGACTTCAAATTAGAATTTTTAAAAATTAAATGCATCATATAAGCATTTTTTATAGGAAATTGTTCTCTACCGAGACTGTTTGTTGAAAAACAAGGTTTTGATCAAGTACATTAGTTATGCCAGCATGTTGCCTTCTAGAGCCTCAATGCTATCTTAAGCAGAATAGATAGAAGTAACATCTTTAAAACATCCCAACCTCTATCCCTCATGTTCTCCTCTCGAATGACTGGAGATGTCAGTGTGATAGTAACTTGCATTTTGGGTTCCACACATGAATTTAAAATTATTGCTGCTTCTGGGACTGCACACTTGATATCATATTTCTCGGGACTTATTACCTAAATATCAAGAAACAGAAACTTCTATTAGCATGTGGCCAAGAAAAGTAAAGGGAAGAAAATGGATTTCAACATAGCCTTTTTTAACAGAAAGGCAGAAACGCAATATAATTATATGAAGCAAATGCCTGTGTATTCAAAGAAACAACAGTATACACAATTAATACATATATATACATGGACTTGCATATTGTTTCCAAATCATTAATGAAAACACACAGCAGTTGCCAAGCGTACAAACGAGAAAAAAACAACCAAGTGAAATTCATATAAATAAGTAAATTACATAACAAGAATCTTGACAGCATTTGAGATAAATAAAAGCCTCAGTGCTACTTCAAATGCCAATTGAATGTTTTTCTCATTGGAACATAGGAGCCTTTAAAAAGCACCAAGATGCAGAAGTGGTTCTTCAAGCTTGCAGTTATAAGTTGAGTACTGCAAGTCACATTCTATACTTGGCTATCACAACATTCTCTGATGAGAGCAAAGGACAAGATTAACACCAGGAGGAAAAAATAGTAAGAGTAACAAGGTGGTTACTCAGAATTGCTTCTTGTGACTAGATTTAATAACTCTAAATACCCCCAAAATAAAGCTGTAGGCACCCCTATTACCTTCTTCCACAAACTAGAGGGACAAGTGAATTCTCCACAAAGCCAGACCAAGATATGCAGGTTTTAAGTTTTCTTCTGTTATTTCAAACAAGAGCAAACCCAAGATTATTTTCTAATTACTCTGATCCTGCTAATGCTTCTACCATGCCACTGATTCTGTTGAGCATTTTACAAGACTGCATTGAAGTACTAATGCTGTGAAAAGCATCCTATAACAATACTAGACAGGCTTTGTTCAGTAGAGAGTACTCAAGCTAAAAACTTTATTCTGTACTTTCATTTATTGTAGAAATACAGCAAATGGTTTATATGAATTTTGCTGAATGGTTTAAGACTACATGTACTTTTTTTTAGTGCCAAATTTAAAAAAAACACATACAAGACTTAATTAACCACTTCTGGGACTACAAAGCACTGACACATACAAACTGGAAACAAGACAAGTACAAAGACACTGGCATTAATGGAGAACTTTGACCTTCAGGCAGTGCAAGCTTCCTGTAACGCCACACAAATTACGTCTATCGCTGCTGGTAACTGGATAATAGTCTTTCTTCTGCTCATTTCTATTTCCCAGTTGAAGGAAATCTATTAAATGATGATTGAAACTACACTGCTAGCATAAGCGCCTAGACACTTGTATGGATGTAATATACAGAAAGCAAAACACACAGCATAGTCCCTGAATTCAGACACAGTCAGAAAATGAAAAGAAACTGTACCTGAGCTATGAAATGCAGCACAGTCAGCCCTACAGACATTTGACTTGAGGACAGACTTTTACAGTATTTTTACCAAAATTCACATCCAAAAATCTAAATATTACTTACTGCAAGTTGTTTGGGAAGACTTTCAGCAATAAAACCAAGTAACATCTTTGAAGGCTTCTCAGCACATAACAAAACAAGATTGACATTTCGGTCTCCACGGAGTAACAAACCTTTAGCCAAAACGCCCACCCGTAAAACTCCTTTCAAAGCTCTGTGAATTATAGTTAAAAGCTGCATTTAAAATACTATAAAAATCATAAAACTAAACATGAAGAGAGAAAAATTAAATAAAATAGCAGTATTCCATATACTCTTGAGGCCACAGTGACATATGCCATATTAAAATCCGAAGGGAACAGAATTCCTGAAAGCACTGATAACAGTACAAGGAAAAACATAAAATGGCTTCAGAAATAAGTCATAAAATTCTTAAAAAATAATAAGGAAAAAAATACCTGTCTTTACTGCTGTCTTTATTGTCATCTCCCTCTTTGCTCTTACTTTTTTCATGGTCAGCCATATTGTCAGAAACAAGTTTCAAAGCACGCTCAGTAATAGAGACAATTTTTTGGACTGCTTGAAGTTCCTCCTCTGTTGGATATATAGCTGCATGTTTGGTCATCACATAGCGGTCATCAGAGGAGTCAGGGCGGCGTAGAGGCTAAACAGATGAAAAAGCACATTTCTGAAATTTGGGTACACAACAGGTCAAGGCAGGTGACTGTTCTGCTCTCATGAGGCCCCACCTGGAGTACTGCATCCAGCTCTAGCAATCCCAACATAAGAAGGATGTGGACCTACTGGAGCAAGTCCAGAGGAAGCCACCAAGATGATCACAGGGCTGGAGCATCTCTCCTAGGAAGACAGGCTGAGAAAACTGGGGCTGTTCAGCCTAGAGAAGAGAAGGCTCTAGGGAGATCTTAGAGCACCTTCCAGTACCTAAAGGGGGCCTACAAGAGAGCTGGAGAGGAACTTTTTACAAGGGCGTGTAGTGAAAGGACAAGGGCTTTAAACTGAAAGAGAATAGGTTTACATTAGATATTAGGAATAAATTATTTACTGTGAGGGTGGTGAGGCCCTGGAACAGGTTATCCAGAGAAGTTGTGAATGTGCCATCCCTGGAAGTGTTCAAGCCCAGGTTGGATGTGGCTCTGAGCAACCTGGTCTAGTGGAACGTGTCCCTGCCCATGGTAGGGAGTTGGAACTAGATGATCATTAAGGTCCATTCCAACCCAAACTATTCTATAATTCTATTATATACTTTCAAGTTCACAGGTGATGTGTGACCAAAAACCAAATGTGGCTAAACAACAGAATATTCAAACCTCAAATTATTGAGATGTAAGGAAACATGAACTGAAGTATCCTTAATAACTTACACTGATCACAATCAATCATATCTGTAAAAAACATGAAATGTATAAAAAAAAAACAAATTGGGAAATCCCAGGATCCAGTACCTCCCCAACATAAATATCCATTGTCTTTCTGTTAACTGGGAAATATTTGCATACTGCCATAAAATAAAGTATCCATGACTGCTTTCATAGAATCACAGAAGAATTCAAATAGAAAGGGACCTCAGGAGGTCCTCTAGTCCAGCCTCCTGTGGAAACCATGGTCAGCTATAAGACTATATCATGTTGCTCAGAGCTTCATCCAGTCGGTTCTTGAAAACCGCCAAAGATGGAGCTTCACAACATCTGTGTGGAGAAAAAAAGAAAAAAAAATCCTGTATTCAGTTTGCACCTTTTTTGTCTCAGCTTAAGCTGGTATATCTCACCCTCTCACTGTAAAGAGCCTGGCTCCATTGTCTTTATAACGCACAGGTATTAGAAGGCTATTACATCCCACTCTTCTCCAGGCTGAACAGACCCAGATCCCTCAAGTCTCTCCTCACAAAGCACACTCCAGACCCCTGATCCCAGTAGCCACACCTGCTGTAGTTTATCAGTACCTGTCTTGTACTGGAAAGTCCAAAACTGAATGCAGTATTGCAGTTTGGGTCTCATCAAAGTGGTTCACTTCTTTTTATCTACTGGTTATGCTCCTGTTAATATCACCAAGGATGCTATTAGCCTTGCTTGCTGCCAGGGCACATGGTTGGTTCACATTCAGCTTACCATCTGCCAAGAACCCCAGATGCCTTTCAGCAGGGCTGCTACCCAGCCCTTCAGTGCAAGTGGTTATGCCCTCCCAAGTGTAGCATTAGGCATTTGTCCTTGCAGAATTCTATAAAGTTCCTGTTGGTCCATTCTTCCAGTCTGCCTAGGTCATGCTGGATAGCAGCCCTGCCCTCAAAGGTATCAACTGTTCTCCCTACTCAAACCAATTCAGTTTCATGTCAGCTGCAAACCTGATGAGTGTGCAGTCACTCTTATCACCTTTCAGATCATTGATGAGGTGCTAATGAGACAAATCCCAGGATAAACACCTGCAGCACTGCACTTGCTTACTGACCTCCAGGTAGAGTATGGCCCACCACTAAACCATTATCCTCTGGGACTGATGATCCAACCACTTTTTATCCATACATTTGTCCACAATTAGATAAATAAAAGTATAATGCAATTAAATAAGAAGTAGTACACAAATCCAGAGTGACTTGTATTCCAGAAGAAACAATATTTGTCTTCAAGGCATACTTTAGTCATATAAGTGGGCTTATTTTGAAAGAGGTCCAACTACAGAGTTTCATTAGTATATAATTTTTTCTTCACTTTTCCATATGCTTTATTAAGAAATGCTGGAGACAACTGAAGTAACACTGAATAACTTATAGTTCTTAACTGTGCCTCTTGGTAAGTATTTTCTTCTTTCTTTTTTTTCCCTCAAGCTAAGAAACTCACGGCTGGTCCTTGGGGCTGAGGAGGCATTCCTGGTCTAACTCCCAGCAGGCCTAGAGATCCTGGAGGACCATGAAGATATCCTCCATCTGGTATTCTGCGACGGTCATCCCAGTGATGCTGCTCTTCCTCCATTCTCCTCCAGTACATGTCCTCTTCATATCGCCTGAAGTATATCAAAATGTCCTCTTTATATAGCAGTTAATACTTCCAACCATTCTAAATAAATTCTTGGATGTTCTCACTAACTCATTTCTAGTAATCAAGAACAAATACCAATGAACTCCAGAGGGTAGTTAAAATGAATGGTTATTTTGAAAGCAGGTCTGAATTCATAGCAAATAATTCTAGTGAGTCTACATTCCTCAGAGAGATTGAACAAAAAACCCAAAACAAAACAAAACAAACCCTGAGGGATAATGACAATTTAAAACAAGACAGTATAGAGCTCCCAAAACAAGTATTCAAAATAAGTAATTACAGAAGAAGAGTTAGTTTTAGATAATCTGACTGCAACTTTGTCTCATTTGCTGATAAAACAGAATGCATTACCTCATTTCCATCCTCCAGCGTTCTTCCTCTTCTCGCCTTCTCCAGTATTCTTCTTTCTGCATCTGTTTCCTCATCTTCTCTTCTTGAATTTTTCTTGCTCGAATACTGGGCTTTACTTCTACTTGTAAATCTGGGTTTACTTTTTTCTAGTTCAGAAAAATAACAAATAAAATGTTGGTTCACCTTTTATCATCTCAAGGTTATGGAGTTCTTCTGACATGTTTAGCACACACTACTGGTCTATGATAAAATCAAGGGGAGTAAAATGCAGTTTTAGAACTGCACTGAATGAACAGCTGAAGAAAAAAATCTGTGTCCGGTGTTTTAAAGGAAAGAAACAGCAATGTACTACATATAGCATGAATTCCTTTTTCAGCTATGTGAGAACAAAACTATCTAAAATTAAAATGCTACATGAAATACTAAGTAATTTGCTGTTCATTCTGTAGCAGGATGATTACTATATAGCCTGAAAAAACCCATTTCATCTTAACTACAGTGTGCTTCCAGATGCCCTGTTCCTGAAGGGTCCCTCATAGTGGATCATAATCATAAGCCACTAAATACATTTTTCTGGCAATTTTTTCATCTTCTTTTATCCCCTTCATGATTATGCAGGCCCATTGTATCTCCTGTGACCACAGTAAATTCTTTTTATATAATCTTATAATAATGAAAATGCACACCATGTGTCACTATAGGTGTCTCTCCATTCATGACTAAAATGTCTGCAAATACTTGTTTCTCAAATGTCTCCATAAGGGGTTTATGTGGTTTATCCTGCCAAAGATATTGACCATTTGAAATTTACATTAAGCAACAAAGCACCTACTATTGCTTGCACACATTGTACAAAATTTTAATGTTGGGAAAAAATGCCTGAAAGCAATGTTCAGAATGTTTAAAGCAACACTCAAACCAAAATGCAGTTTCAGTCTGCATTACAACTTCAAAGACTATACTCCCTCAGAAATATATTTCTTTAGCTTTTTTTTATATGCTGTTTACTCAGAGCACCTACTTCTGACTAGTCTTTAAGAACATGTAATCAGTCAGCTGACATCTGGTAGACTTCCAGATAAAAGTATTAGCATTTTTACCAACCTTATACTGAAGTCTGTGCCGCCTCCCTTTTAAGTGCATCTCTTTGGCATTAGGATCATTAAAACTGCATTCACAAAGTTTACAGTGAAAGCGGATCACCTTTCCTTCATCATTTCTTACCTGGAAAATAAAAGTTATTAAACATGTTTACTTTTTTTTTTTCTTAACAAAAGCTGATTTAAAAATTAATCTAATTCAGTGACACTGGATAATGTCTACCCATCTCAAAACATGCTTAAAACTTCACACAGGAACTGAAAAAAGGCAAAATAGATTTTTCAATTCTGACAGACACACCATTGTGTTTAGTAAGGAATAAAGTTCTTCGACAGCTTTAAACCTGAGCCCAAACATAATGAGTTGAATAATTACAAACTATGAAAAATTTGCATCATATTTCATCTACATATCTCATTCCATCAACATGAAGAATGCCCCACTGAGGTCAAAAGAAACATGCACAATACAAAAATGTAAACATATGCACAAGCCTTTGCAGGTTCAGTGCCTTGTCACTCTTATCTTCAAGAAGGACCCAGGGAATTACAGGCCAATCAGCCTTACCTCAATCCCTGGGAAGGTGATGGAGCACCTAATTCTGGACACCAGTTCCAGGCACATTAAGGACAAGAAAATCATCATCAATAGTCAGCATGGCTTCACCAAGGGAAAGTCATGCTTGATCAACTTGATAAACTTCTGCAATGAAGTGACTGGCCTGGTAGATGAGGGGAGAGCAGTTGATGTTGTCTACCTGGACTTCAGTAAGGCCTTTGACACAGTCTCACCATAATATCCTCATAGACTAACTGTTGATGTAAGGGATGGATAAACATACAGTGACGTGGATCAAAAGCTGGCTGAATGGCAAAGCCCAGAGGGTGGTGATCAGTAGAATGAAATTTAGTGGAAGGCCAGTAGCTAGCAGTGTATCCCAGGGCTCAATGTTGGGTCTAATTCTGTTTAACATATTCATTATTGATCTGGTGATTGGGCAGAGTGCACCCTCAACAAGTTTGCTGAATACACAAAACTGAACGCAGTGGCTGATATGCCAGAGGGTTGAGCTGCCGTCCAGAGAGATCTCAACAGGCTGGAGAAATGGGCTGACAGGAACCTTGTGAAGTTCAACAGGGAGAAGTACAAAGTCCTGCATCTGGGGAGGAACAGCCTCATGTGCCAATATATGCTGGGGGCCACCCAACTGGAAAGCAAATTGACAGAAAAGGCCCTGGGGGTCCTGGTGAACACTAAGTTAAACTTGAGTCAACAATGTGCCCTTGCTGCAAAGGCAGCAAATGGCATCCCAGGCTGCATTCAACAAAGCATTGCTAGCAGGTTGAGAGAGCTGATCGTTCCTCTCTAACTCAGCACTGGTGAGGTCACACCTGGAGTCTTGTGTCCAGTTCTGGGCTCCCCAGTGCAAGAGAGACATAGACATATTGGAAAGAGTCCAATGAAAGGCCACAAAGATGATGAAGGGACTAGAACCTCTCTCCATATAATAGTTAAAAAAATAATCCATGTTTTCATATCAATACCTCCTCCACATAGTCATGGCCCACTGGTTGGACATCACTTTGCAAGGCAGCAAGAGTTGTAGGTGTCACTGGTTCAGCTGCTGTGTCTGGTTTTACTTCCTGTGTTTGTATTGTAGCAGCAGTTGTTGCTTTAACACTTTCAGCTGATTTCATTTCTTCCAGTTTACTTCCTGTTGTCTGAAGTTTATTACCACCTACAAATCAAAAAAGTTAAATCTCTAACTTTCATAAAATGAGAATTATACATGATGTGCAAACTGAAGAGTTTATTTGCAAGTATCAATGTTCTGGTCAAAGCAGTATCAGTCTGAAAATTAGTTAAACCAAGCATTTTTAAATACTATTAAAGTTTTTTTTAAAAAAAAAAGCTAAACAAAAACTTATTTAAACACATAGTTTTTTATTTTAGCAAGAAATCTTTTGCTTTATATCGTTGTAATTGTCATCATTCATTTTCATGCTTTTTCAAGAGATAGGACTGAATGGGAACAACTCAGCAAATATATTTTAAATTTCTTTGTAATCAGATTTGTTTTCTTTTTGCAAATGGATCCAAGAAAGTACAAACATTAAAAGGTTTTGAGGTACTAACAAAGACAGCATACTTTCAGTGTTGCAACTGCAGAGGTCTTTCCTTTGAGAGCAAGTTAGCTTACTGCTGAACAACTACTTTCTGTCTCTAAATGTCTCTCATGCTTATTTCAAAAGTTTCCACTGTTAAATTTCCAGTGTTACAACAATGTTTCAGTTTCCCAGTTACCAAGTGCCAACCTACTGCAGGCTGTCTTAACAGGCCAGGCTGTGAACTGAAATTAGAAGCAACTGGACTATAATCTGCAATACTCCAGCGGCTACTACATAAGAAATCAAAGGTGGGAGGCTTTTTCTGAAGGTGGGAGAAGCCTCCAGGAGAGGTCAGGTGAAGACAAAAGGGCAGAAAACAGTATAAACTGTGAAGCAAAATTTTGATACACATTCTTATTTTCCCCATTAGTAATAATTCTCGTAAACACAACAGAATTACTCATGCAGAAGTTAATTAAATATATTTGTACTTGTTGCACTAAAATCTTTTAAAAATTATAGAATAGGTTAGGTTTAAAATAAAGACTGACTTCTGTACTTGCCAACAAAGTTTATTTTTGGTGGAGATATTTTCTTTACAGCTATATTAGCAGCAGTTGAAGATGTTTTGTTGTTGGACACAGTGTTAAGTGGTGCATTTGCCGTGGGAGTAAGAATTTTCACTGTAGAGGATGCAACAGAGGAGTTCACAGTACTGCTGCTAGTTGCTATATTTGAAGCAGAAGCAGTTGGTTTAGAAGCAGATGTGGATGTTGAAGTTGCAGCTTGGGTAACCACATTTGGTTCAGTTGATGGAATAGGTTTGCCAAGTTTTGTGTGCAACTTTACTACCTATAAAAATAACAAGAAATTAATAATATTATCTCCTTGGGGTAGCTATAAAAAAACTGAACTTGTTATAGGTTATTGAAGTTTTAACAGAAACATCAATATCACCAGTGATATTGATATTTTTATTTTACTTTAAAGTTATTGCCTCTTTACTAAAAGCAATCTCAGGAGGAAAAGAAAAGAAAGGGACATGCAAAAGTTCTTATCATCTGTATTGAGGAAATTGTTAATAGTTATCTCAGGTTGCTTATTTCCCCTAGAAATTCAGACATTTACTCCAAAAGCTGTGTAGATGAGAACAGAAAGTCAATAAACTCAAGAGCCAGTAAAACTCACAAAACAACTAGGCAAAATGTTTCCAACACAACTGTTTTGTTGCCTTTTGTTGCTTTTTATTCTCCCTCCAAAAATTGTAGTACGTTGAACTATTTTAGTTCCAAATAATATTTGTAAATAAGTTATTTAATTCAGATTCAACACTGTCTCTTTTCATCACTACATTTTAAGAATATTTATACTGACTTTCCAGGTTACCTAGCAAAATGGAAGATATTCCTTAGACAAAGGCTTTCTTTTCTTTTTGTTAAAGCACATCTGCAGAAAGAGTTAAGGAGGATGCAAAAGGCATATTTCAGAGCTCTTTATCTCCTTGAAAGTTAAGAGGTATGTGCTTATTCTTAGAAGTAATAAGCAGAGGCCTTTTTACAACACACTTGAGATAGAATAATACTTCTTTTTGGTGACAGCTAACCATCACCTGAAAAAGCAATACATGTAGTAGATAAGAACAAAACATGCAGAATGAAAACTGAAGACTGGGTTTGAAAGTAGCAGTAAAAAAAATACAAATCTGCTAGCTATGTCTTTAATGCAAATACATGTACACAATCAGGTTCAACAAGATGAAGTACCACGTCCTGCACTTGGGTCACAACAACCCCGTGCAGCACTACAGGCTTGGGGAAGAGCAGGTGGAAAGACGCCCAGTGGAATAGGACCAAGAAGTGTTGGCCAACAGACAGCTGAACATGAGCCAGCATGTGCCCAGGTGGTCAAGATGGCCAATGACATCCTGGCCTGTAACAGAAATAGTGCAGTCAGCAGGACTAGGGAAGTGACTCTCCCTTTGTACTTGTCACTGGTGAGGCCACACCTTGAATCCTGTGTTCAGTTTTGGGCCCCTCAAAACCAGACAGATGTTGAGGTGGTAGAATGCATCCAAATAAGGGCAACAAAGCTGGTAAAAGGTCTAGAGCACAAGTCCTATGAGGAGCGGCTGAGGGAACTGGGGCTGTTTAGCCTGAAGAAAAGAAGGCTCAGGTGAGACCTTATCACTCTCTACAACTCCCTGAAAGGAGGCTGTAGCCAGGTGGGTGTTGGTCTCTTCTCCCATGTAGCAAGAGCTAGTACAGGAGGAAATGGCCTCAAGTTGTGCCGGGGGAGGTTTAGATTGGATATTAGGAAAAATTTATTCACTGAAAGGGTTGTCAAGCATTGGAAGAGGCTACCCAGGGAAGTGGCTGAGTCACCATCCCTGGAGAGATTTAAAAGTCATGAAAAACATGTAGATGTGGTGCTTAGGGACATGGTTTAGTGGTGGACTTGGCAGTGTTAGTTTAAAGGTTGGAGTCGATGATCTTAGAGGGCTTCTACACCCTAAATAATTTTATGATGTGCACACAAGTGTATACATACACGTCTTAGCTTTTTATTCTTATTTTAAGCATGTTCTTCATGAGAATACAGACATATTAATGTCACGTAATATTACAAATTTAAGTTCAAGAAACTCTTCCAGATTACTTTTTTCCCACTAGAATGCACAAGATTCTTCAGCGTACCAAAGAAAGAGTCCTTTGAGATTTCATTTTTACACTGATGACAACCTAACTTAGCATGGGTTAGCAACTATCTATGAGGAAGAGACAAGGACATCCAAATATACAAAGATAATATATTATCATACTCCATATACCTATAGAGTTATTGGGCACAACCCAAAAATTTAATGACTCAACTTCATTAATGAAAGAACAAACACTAGGCAAATCTATGTAAATTATAATTTTTGTTCTTCTACTAACAAAAAATAATATTTGGAAAATTATTTTAAATTTGCGATGAGATTTATTTACTTGAATAGGACTGATATTACTGATGTCACTTTGTACAGTGTTCTGAGATACAAAGGTCTATAAAAGCTGAATATTATTACTTTGCTACTTATATTAACAATTCCATAGCTTTGAGGAAAATCTGTAATATCGGCGATGAAGAGAGAGAGGGAAGAATTTGAGATGATCAAAGAATCAGATTTTATTGTGGGATACAAATGCTTATATAGTATTTTAGGAAGGCTAGTAATGTTTTGTTCCAGCAAATCCATCTGATTTAATCTTCTTGCAATCTTGATTTAATTCTCAAAGTTCTGTTTGCTCTTGCCAAGGCATTTTATTTATCAAATATCTTATGTTAATAAGGTACAAAGTATTCTCTGTTTTGTGTACCCCAATACTGTAATATCTAAACATGCATTCTACACTGCGCCATTCCATTTATTGTCATATGACCAAATTTAGAACACAGGTCACAGGGGTTCACAGTGCAGCTCGCAGTCTTTATTCTAAAATGTTCACCTAACTGCACACAGACAATAGGGAAAGCATGCTTACCAAAACTCTAAACATACTCATAAAATCTACTACAGGACATTGTTCCTTGTTTCCATATGCCTTTTTTTTTTGCAAGAAATACCAAAAAGTGACACATAATAATCTCATCCCTTGGCACTGACTCAGTTTACAGTATTTCAAAGCACGGAGCGCTTCACAGTGCCAAATAAGAATGTCAAGAGAAGTCTTGAAAAGTGTTAGGGGGCACAAGCATGCTATTGCATGTCCTCATTGACACTTTTCCCCATCTTACTCTATACCTTCTTCCTACAATTTACATACCTTTCCCAATACATCCTCTTCTCCTTGATGCTGTGGCAATATGTTTTCCCCCTTTCTCCCAACAAGGCCCTTCTAATAGTGAGCTTAAATATAATTTTGAAACAAAAAGCAGAACTGTCTTTAAACAAAATTCTAATTATATTCTTTCTGCATATTTTCTCCTAAGATGAGAAAAATGATGGGAAGAAATATATGACTGACTTGTATAATATAGACAAGAGAAAGTTCTTACTTTCTGATGTTTGGCTCCACGGATATGGGCAGCGTAAGCATCTGCTCCTGTACAAGACACATCACAAAGCTCACAGCGCAACTGATTCTGAGTTCCACGAGCAGAAGTACTGTTGTTGGTGGTGTTCTGGGAAGCTTTTAATGCTGCTTCTTTCTTTTTGTGTTTCTGGCCTTCTAAGTGTTCTTTATAAGTCTGTTTAAATAAAAAATACACACAGCTGGTTTTGAACTGTTTGTTCATAATTCATGTGTATACATGTAATATAGAGCATAGCATAAAACACATGCTTTGTATGAAAAATACTTCCTACACTGAACATTGCTTCCCTATGACATGTTTTAAGGCATAAGCAGGCCACTTCCAAAACCAAGATATTTTCTTCACCACCAGGATTCCACTCTTAGGTAATACAAGATGGTCTTTAGTCCTCTACCTTCTCACTTCCTCAGTCAAGTACTGGTCAACATATATTACCATTGAAAGCCTGATAAGATCAGAAAACTGTTGCATTTTCCAACATTGCATTGAATTATTCTTGATTTTGAATTTTCCTCAAACTGCAAGACCACAGTTATTAAATGTATCCAGATAACTAAAAAAGCAAATTCAAAAAAAGGTAGCGCATAAATAAAGCTACACTGAAAATAAAATACAGAAGTTGCTGTTTGTTCCTATACTAACACTGGCAATCTATGGAGCAGACAGGGTGGAAAATAATGACAAATTTACCTAAAGAGTAAGAACTGTGTTTCCAAACACACACACAAACATTTCATTAATCGATATCTACTTTTCATGCACTTGTATCCCCTTTGAAACTAAACTGGGATGCTGGAATAAAATTAATACATTTTCAGGATTACCATTGTGTTCGTTTAACACAATATGGCCTTCAGTGGAGGCAGAGGAACCCACAGAGGCTGCTTCTGAAAGACAAGCTCCTCAAAACTTCAATGTCCAGCAGAGCAAATCCCTGAAGACTCTGACGATGGACATATTGGCTGGCCCAATTAGAGAAGTTAGTAACGCCTCTGTGATGACATATTTAAGAACAAAAAAACATGTATAAGCTCTCTTTCTTCCTCCCCTCAGAGGGGTGGTGAGGGGGCCGCCAGGCCCCTTCCTGGCGTGGCCAGGACTCTTTTTGGTGCGGCCGCTGAGGCCATGCCGCTGGGGGACTATCCCAGTGCCGCGAGCAGCCACAGGGCCGAGACCACGTGGCCATGTGGCCAGCGCTTGGAGCGCTCATGCGGCCAAGGGCGGCCGCCGCCATCCTGGCATTGGGAGTGGCCGCATGGCTGGGATCGGTGCAGCTGGAGCGGCGCCACGCAGTTGCTGCCATCTCAGCATGGCTCGCAATGAACTTTACTTGCTTAGCCACTTTTAGCCCAGCCATGCTGCGAACAAGAGGGCAGAAGCGGCAGCAGCAGTTTTTCCTTTTCGGCGCCACGCAAGAGGAGAGGTGCTGACTGGAACCAGCAGCCAGAGTGGCTCATGGGGTGCCAGCAGGGACCACGTGACCAATAGTGAGAGGCATGGCAAGCAATTCTCTGATGTGGAGCCTAGACGGGCTCAACCTTTCAGCACTGCGGAACTCTATAAAAACTTTTCAATTGATAGAACTTGAGAACAAATGAACCTACGGACACCAATTTTCTCACAAGTCAGAGAAAAGGAAAAGGTGAAGACACATGAGGAGAAAAACATGGCGACACTAAGGTCGGTGAAAAATGAGGGAGGAGGAGGAGGTGCTCTGGGAATTGGAGCTGAGATTCTTCTGCAAGCCATGGTGAGGACTATAATACAACAAACTGGGTTTTTTCCCCTGTAGTTCATGAAGTGCATGGAGGATATGTAGAAGTCTACTCGCAACCTGTGAGAAAAGATACTCATGCTGGAGCGTGTGAATGCTGAAAAGCTGTAATTTAGTGACAAACTTGAACAAAGAGAGGAGACCCTTGCTTCCAGAAGTAGAGGAAGAAGACCCTTGCTTCCAAACTAGAACAGCTCATCCTTAAAAGACTATACCCCATGAACTAAATGACCCATGCAAACACTTATGGGAAGACTGTTTGCCTGTGGGAAGGACTCACGTTGCAGCAGGTTGGGTGGGACTGCTACTCGTGAAAATTAGAACCATGTTGGAGAAGTTCACAGAGAACTGTCTCCTGTGGGAAGGACCCCATGGCACAGCAGAAGAGACTCCTCTCCCTAAGTGAACTGAAGAAAGATTTTTTGAAGTGACAAACTGACTAAAAACCCCATGTTTTGTCTCCCTGTGCTGTCAGTGGGAAGGAAAGAAGGGGAGGGGGAAGGTGTTCTAAAGGTTTATTTTAGTTCTCATTATCCTCTTTTATTTATGTTAATAAATTTTTCTTTATACCTTTTAACTTTTGAGCCTGTTTTGTCCTTAGAATGTTTTCTCCTAATTCTTATCTCATCCTGTGAGCCTTTTAGTTTTTCTTTCCCCCTCCTCTGCTCAACTATAGCAGAGGAGAATGAGTGAATGGTTTTCGTGGGTGCCTGGCTTCTAGCCAGTGTCAAACCGTGACAACCATTCACAAAGTTTTGAAAAAAGTATTTTCTAAGAAGTTTGCTATGTTAAAAAGAAAATCAAATTCAAAGTTTAGAATACTTCTGGAGTCCAAAGCACAGCTGAAGCTTCTCTGTCCAAGCTAAGGGGATGCATCTTTTTGTCTTCTCATATGGCCTTTTTCTGTCATAGCGTACATTTTCATTTAATTATTCCTTTAGTATAAGTATAGAATCAGGTCTTTAAAAATTAACAAATATTCTTAAAGGGGCCATTTTTTTAGCTGAAAAAATTATGACTAAAGCATATAGCAGGATATTATATAATACAGGTACCTGTGGTCCAGCACAGCTGATCTTGCAAACATCACAGTAGTGGATCTGGGGTGGTTTGGGAGGTTGCTTTGGTTTCAGTTGCTTATTTTGGAATGGTACCTTTTTAGTAAAGGTGGTCCCTGTCCAAGCAGCTGTTGCAGCAGCAGCTGCTGCCGCTGCCTGTTTCTGCTGCTGCTGCTGCTGGTAATAGGATGATGCAGCTGAATATACTGCAGCTTCATAGCCAGAATAAGAGGTACCTCAAAGATTAAAATAAAATAAATGTTACATCACTGTACATCATGTATCAATTACATAATACACTAATTCCAAGCATATTGCATAATAGAGTAGGATACAAAAGATTTATTGAGATCTTGTCAGGCAGTCTGAATTTTTCTTGATGTTTCACAGTACACAAATACATAGCATACCATTTGTATCAGGAATATATTTGATTTTAGACAAAACTTTGCAAACACACTGTTCTGTTAAATATATCAAAGCATCCCTAAAGAATATGTGAAATTTCCTGGTACATCTGGTAAGACTGAGTATGATGCAACAAGAATTTTAATAAAAGACTTATCAAAGGTCACTTGAAATAAGCAGTCTTCCAGAGCCAGATTTACTGTTCAAGTTCCAAACAGAAAAAGACAGATATTATGTAGACTAAGGGGAAAAAAAATAAGATAAAAGATAGAATGCAATAGCATTAGCCATTCTATTTCAAATGAGTTGCAGCACACCCTGTCTAGACACTCCTTGATTTCTAGTATCAAACATTAGTAAATCAAGGAAACTGGGCTTTCGTACCTTTTGAGCCAGTTTTCCCATAAACTTTATACATCTACTCATTCAACTATTTTAATCCTCTAATCAAGCTCTGTTTCGATGAAGTCTTACAATCCCTTTTTAAACTGAAAACAAACCAAAACAAATAGTTCAAGGTAGCTATAATATGCCAGTTGATTACCATCTGGCCATAAAATTAACATCTTCTCACCTTTAACTACTTTTTGGATTTCTAGTGTTTGAAGGAAAGTCTTTCTTTGTAGGACCCATTCTCCCCCCATCTTGGGTTGAGATAACCCAAACTTAAAAGATTTATATTTGACTGCTCCTCCTTGTCTCTATAATTGCTGCTTGATGGCAGCATGCTCCAAATTTCCCTGGATTATATTTGTGTTTCCTTATTTTTTCTATCCCCCATATTTTCTCTCCAAACTTTACAGTAAATCACAAAATACTTGTGCACGTAGTAATGCCAAAACTTTGTATATTCTCACATATAACAAAATAGGCACATTCAAGCATCAAACCTCTTTTAGAGATACATAAAAATATTTTATCATTATTATGATTTAACTGGTTGATATTTCTCTATAGACTATGAAGTAATTGAACATAAACTGCTAAAATGCTGAGTATTTAAATCCTCTCCTGTAACAAATGCAAAGATCCCAGCAATATAATATGCAAAATTCTTACCAGAGTAAGTAACCGCTGTTGTACTGTATGTTGCACTTTGAGTATAGGATGGAACAACAGTAGCTGCAGCTGCTACTGGCTGCACAGTAGAGGATACTGGATATATAGAAAATGTAGTTGTTGCTGGACTTGGGGTTGCAGGTTTTATAGCTGTCACTTGTCGTGTTTGCTGGGCTTGGGTATACTGAGTTGCCCCTTGGCTATATCCTGCTTTTGGAGCTAATTAGGATAGAAAATAGAAGTGCACAAACATTGATATGCTTTAGTTGAATGAAATGCAAACCATATTAAGCAATACTTAATGATATCCTATGTAATAAAGATATTAACAAGTGAGTTTTGTTTTAGTTTGGTTGGTTTTTGCCTTTTTTTGATTGGGTTTTGTTTGTTTTTTTTACAGTAATGGTTATGCTTCAGCTACCATATATCCCACAATGGTTTAATCACATCAAAGCTCACACTAGCAAGCCTCAGATTTATTTATGTATTTTTAACTGTGCTGCCATGTTTTTAAACAACCTTCTCCTTCAATGGTTTTACTAGAGTACACACTAAACCAAAGTACATCTAAACTTGGCTATTATTTCTAATTATAGTAAAAAAAAAAAAGTAAATAGGATTTATGTTTTGTAGCATTTATGATGCCAATAATTAAAGAACTATATACATTAAAGATCTTTTTTAAAAAGTCTTTCTAACCAAGTTAGCATCTGAAACCAACACTGACTTTTTCAACCTACTTCAGCAAAAGTTTTTGCCTAGAAGTATGTTTTGAGTGTATTAATAACAATCCAAATCTCAGAGATAGTTACTTATGGCAATGTCACAATAATGTTCAAGTTCTAGGTGCATCAAGTTTTTTCTACACATTGACAGGGATTACATGTCAAAACAATAAATAAATCTGGTAATATGAAATAGTCAAAGATATATTTTAAGCTATTAAAATAGTATACAGACTGTATATAACGACAGGAGTTTGAATCATGCCACCTACCTGTCTGGTAGTATGACTCAGCCACTGAAGGCTGAGGCTGTGCAGCAGCAGCCACAGCCGCAGCAGTTGCTGTTGGTTGTTGATAATATTGTTTGCTGTCATAAGCTACAGCTGGGGCAGTAGATCGAACATAAGAATAGGAATCCTAAAAATTAAAAAAAGAAAACCCATCAAATTTCTCCTTAACTATCTATCTGGAATAATAAAAATCATTAGCAGACTCAAAGATTTTTCTTCTATTCTACTTAAGTAGATTTAAAAAATATTTACAGATACATTATATACCAATATATGTATTAAAGAAATTAAATTTATGTTTACAGATACTTCAGGCCTGAAGACAACCCTGACTAGTCTTTTTCAGACATAATATAGGAGTTAATCTCATGCTATTAAACTACTTTTCCCCTTCCAAATTATTTTTGTTACCAAAAAGCAACTCAATGCACACTAGTTTTTCATAATGACTATATCAGACTGCATTCCTGTAAAATACGAAGGAAAAAAAACACCACAGATCTCCACAAACCACAATATATTCACAAGTTTAAAAACATGGAACCATGGCTTGGCCCTCCCTAAGACAGGAAGAGCCACCAGAAAAAAAAAAATCAATATCAAGGAGGTCCTATATTTTTCCCTTTGGGCAGGTAGAAGGTAGTAGCTCAAAGAAAAGGGGTGAATGGAGGCAAGTCCTCACTTGGGGCAGCAGGTGAATCCCCTCCTTGCCCACCTCACCCTCCCAGGTGCCTCTGTACAATAGGTACGAAGATGTAGAAGGCCAGTCAAAGGATGATGAGGATAGAGGTCCATCTACACCAGAGGTGTTGCCAGAACCAGAAAGGCCTACCCTCTGTATAACAACCACCTCCACGAGGAAAAGACAGGTTGCAGCTGTAGGCAGTTGCCTTCTAAGGTGAACAGAGGGTACAATATGCTGGATGGATCCTCCTCTTAAGGGAAGTGTGCTGCCTCCCTGGGGCCTGGGTTAAAGACATGACTGGGAAAGTTCTCTAGCCTGGTACAGCCCTCAGACTACTACCCATTATTGGTCTTCCACATGGGTGGTGATGAAATGACAATACGTAATCCAAGGGTGATCAAAAGAGACTTCAGGGCCTTGGGATAGCTGGTAAGGGAATATGGAGCACAGGTTATTTTCTCTTCTATCCTCCCAGTTGTGGGCAGAGACACTGGAAGAAACAGATGAGCCCAGTCTAATACATGGCTCCATGGCTGGTGTCACTGCCACAATTTCACGTGTTTGTATAATGGAATGGCCTACATGACACCAGGCATGCTGGAATCAGATGGGATTCCCCTTTCTCAAAGGGGGAAGAGGGTCTTTGCTCAGGAGCTAGTAGCGCTCATTGATATAGAGCTTTAATCCAGACATGACGGGGGAGGGGAATAATATCAGGCTTGTCCTTGACAAGCTGTGGGACAACACATCAAGATTAGAGGGATGGAGTCGTAGTGAGGGCCTTCAGCCAGTGACTCTGAGATGTTCTAGCCACACTGAAGCACACTTGAAGACTTACAGAGATGAGCCAGGGGCTCCTGAGGTAATAGAAGTCACCAGGGAAACACCTCAGAGGAGAGGCGTTCCTATAAAAAAGGTGATATGCTGACAGCCCAGCTGAGATGCCTTTACACCAATGCACGCAGCATGGGCAACAAACAGGAGTTGGAAGTCTCCATGCTGCTACAAAGCTACAACCTTGTTGCCATTACTGAAACTTGGTGGGATAAATCCCATGACTGGAGTGTGGTTATCAATGGCTACAGACTGTTCAGAAAGGACAGAGATAAAAAGAGGGGTGGAGGGGTTGCCCCCTTTGTCAAGAAATGGATAGATTATGAAGAGCTGTCTCTGAAGAACAGCCATGAGAAGGTTGAAAGCTTATAAGTGAGAAATAGAGACAAAGCTGGAAAAGGGAACCCTGTGGTTGGTGTTTACTACAGGCTGCTCAATCAGGAGAAACCTATTGACAAAGCCTTCTTGCTCCAGCTACAGGAGACATCGCAATCGCAGGTTCTTGTCCTGCTGGGGGGCTTCAACCACCCCAACATCTGCTGGGAAAGTAGCACAGCGAGCTGTAGACAATCCAGGAGACTCCTGAAATGCATGGAGGATAACTTCTTGAGCCAGGTAATAGACAGCACTACCAGAGGGGATGCAATACTGGACCTGATGGTCACCAATGTAAGTGAGCTAATGAGGGTCATCAAGATTGGAGGCAGCCTGGGCTGCAGTGATCATGCACTCATAGAGTTTGCAGTCCTGAGGAATATGGGTCAGGCTGAGTCAAGACCCAGAATTTTAGGAAAATAAGCTTCCAGCTGTTCGAGGAGTTAGTCAATAGGATCCCCCTGAGAAATTGCCCTCAGGGCCAAGGAGCAGAACAGACCTGGCAGATCTTTAAGGAAGTCTTCCATTGAGCAAAGAGAGCTTGCAATCCCCCCGGCACAAGTCAGGCAAAGAAAGCAAGAGACCAGCATGGCTGAGTCAAACTAAAGGGCAAGAGGGAAATGCACAGGCAGTGGAATCAAGAACAGGTGTCCTGGAAAGCATATAGAGACACCAGTTGTGTCAGGATGATGTGTGGAAGACCAAGGTGCAGCAGGAGCTGAACTTGACAAAGGAGGCAAAGAATAACAGGAAGGACTTCTACAGGTATGTCAGCCAGAAAAGGAAGGTCAAAGATGATGAACCACTCCTGATAAGCAAGACTGGCAAACTCTAAATAATAATGAGGAAAAGGCTGAGGTACTCTCAACACCTTTTTTGACTCATTCTTCAATTGTAACCTCTCTTCCCACACTTCTCGAGTGGATAGACTGAAAGAAAGACTGGGAGAGCAAAGTCCCTCCCACTGTAAGAGATCAGGTTCATGACCACCAAGCGATTCTCCATCATATTTGAAAAGTCATGGCAGTTATGTGAAGTCCCAGGTGACTGGAAAAAGGGAAACATTGCACCCATCTTAAAAAAGGGTAGAAAGGAAGACCCTGGGAACTACTGCCCTGTCAGCATCACATCTGTGCCTGAGAAGATCCTGGAACAGATCCTCCTAGAAGCTCTGCTAAGGCACATGGAGGACAGGGAGGTGATTCAGGACAATCAGCATGACTTCACCAAGGGCAAGTCTGACCAACCTAGTGGCCATCTATGATGGAGTGACTCTATCAGTGGACAAGGGAAGGGCTACAGATGTCCTTTATTTAGACTTCTGTAAAGCCTTTGACATGGTCCCCCACAACATCCTTCTCTCTCAGTTGGAGAGAGGATTCGATGGGTGAGCTGTTCAGTGGATAAGAAATTGCTTGGATGGTTGCATCCAGAGTGTATCTGTCAACAGCTCAGTGTCCCAATGGACATTGGTGACAAGTGGTGTCACTCAGGGGTTCGTATTGGGACTAAGTGCTATTTAATGTCTTCATCAATGACATAGATGAAAGGATCGAGTGCACCCTCGGCAAGTTTGCAGATGGCACCAAGCTGAGCAGTACAGTTGACATTCCTGAAGGATGGGATGCCATCCAGAGTGACCTGGACAAGCCCAAGATGTGGCCCATGGGAAACTCATGAGGTTCAACAAGACTAAGTGTAAGGTGCTGCACCTGGGTCTGGGCAATCTCTTGTATCAATACAGGGTAGGGAATGAAGAAATTGAGAGCAGCCCTGCCAAGGACTTGGGGGTGCTGGTGAATGAAATAATAGAATCATTATGGTTAGAAAAGACCTCTAAGATCACCAGGTCCAACAGTCAACCGAGCACTACCACCATGTTCACTACTAAACCATATCCACACATTTTTTGAGCATTTCCAGGAATGGTGACTCCACCACTTCCCTGAGCAGCCTGTTCCAATGCTTTAGAACCCTTCCCATAAAGAAATTTTCCCTAATATCCAAATTAAACCTCCCCTGGTGTAACTTGAGGCCATTTCCTTTTGTATTGTCACTTGTTACTTGTGAAATGAGACTGAGACTCACCTCACTACAACCTCTTTTCAGAGCAGTAAGATCTCCCCTCAGCCTCTTCTTCTCCAGGCTACACAACCCTAGCTCCCTTAGCCATTCCTCAGAAGACTTATGTTCCAGACCCTTCACCATTTTCACTGCCCTTCTTTGGACATACTCCAGTGCCTCAATGTCTTTCTTGTAGTATTTTTCTTTAATTTAGGGGGCTATTATCTATCTGAATGCATCTAATAACTGACTAGTTTAACAACCTTGTAATTATGTGTAAACATGCTACTGGAAAGACTCCTACATTTTGGTTCATTACCATATGTAACAAAGTGCAAAGCCCTACAAAGGAATTAATAACATACAGCAACAATATAGTAGCTTTAAACAAATAAAAATGCAAATTAGAGTCTAGATAATGTAGCAAAAAAAGCTGCTAGAAATACAAATAAAGCTCACATTTCTAATAGGAAACTACCTGGCCACGTAAAACTGCTCATCTTTCTGCATCTAAGCTGTCTGATTGAAACCAATGGGCTAGGGTTACTGATGTGTATATATCCTTACATTGTGTCAATCTAGACAGACAGAAAAGACTGCAACTTCTCGCTCTTTGGAGTAAACACTTATCTTAAATAAGTCCCAAGATAACCACTACGTACTGAAATCTTCCGACTGCAAAACTGATGCAGCACTGATTTGTACTTCTAAGTTTCTTTATTTCTGACGAGTAATACCAGTCACTGACAGGATGTTGTGTCATAAGACATTTAAGCCAGTGTAAGAATGGGAAATTGTTGGAGGTACCATCACATCTCTCCTCACCCTACATGATCCCACATCCATCTCTTGCATTGGCACCACAACTGTGCAGAACCAAGGAAATTCTGCAGAAGTCTGTCAATCCCATGGAAAGATGCTGTTCCTTTTTAAGTTGGTTAACCTTCTGTGGAATCCTTATCCTGAACTGACCCACCCAAATGCTGACAACTGCTAGATTCAATGCAAAGAAGTGTCAGTAAAGGTCAGAGCGAGATGAAAACACAACAGTTTCCTTTTGTAAAAGCCTGTAGCTACACAAAGGTAGGCAGACGTGTCACAAAGGGTACCTAAAATCTACTCAAAAGACAGTTTGTCTCCTAGAGTAATCTTCTGTCCTCTTACATTTGGTGCTAGAGCTCCTGTGGCAACCAGGAATCTGACAAGGGAACTACTATCTCCCACTGAAAATTTTCATTGGAACAGTTTTTTCATCTAAATCAGTTCCATGACCCATTTAACTGCATGCCACTTGGACAGTTAGGCTAGCCAAGACAAGTATTTCAGCAGTAGTTCACAAAATAATCTGGAGATAAATGTCAATATGTTGTTTATTGTGTGAATGTCTAAATCTTATCAGTATTACTGCTGATAATCCTCTATACACACCATACAGAACAGCAGTCACTTCACATTCTATCACAATTTTAGCTGTGAGCCATGGAAGAAAAAATATAAATATCACCACATTCTCTTATCCAAACAGGCCTCCTCCTTTTAACATATAATTTTAAAATTACACAATTTTTTTTAAAAAAACACACCTGGTAATTCTGCGTAGTGACAGGAGGTGGTGGTGGTGGAGCTTCTTGTTGCCTCTGTGTATAACCATAATCTGTAGCTGTGTGCGCTGTAGGATAGCCTCCATAAGCAGCAGCTGTTGCAGCAGCTGCAACAGCTACTGGAGCAGGCCTGGCTACTGCAACTGTAGCTGCTGCTGGAGCATAGGCTGCAGTGACAGTGTGCGCAGCAACTGGTGCCTGGTGGACAGTGTAGCTGGCAACTGTAGTTGGATGGGAATAAGCTACGCCCGAAGCTGGCTGCTGGCTACATTGGAAAAAGACAGTAAGTAAGTAATTAGATTAATCCAACATACTCATCTAATGCCTAAACATTTCAAACTCCCACATTTGATTCATACTTGTCTGTTCTACAAACAGATGTGGAACAGCTATCATACACTGTAATTACTATTATTACTTCTTATCCACCCCATTAAAAAGGCTGTATCATTTTGAAGTTTATGTGAATGGAAATATATCATGCAGGCAATGACTTTCTTCTTAGCAAGAAGTGATGGTAGCTGTGTTCCACTGCTTGAAAAGAACCCAAGCCTTTCATTCAAAATAATACAGAAGTCTTACACAGTTATCTTTTCATGACCAATAAGTTTTTAAGTGTTTTAGTGGTTCTTCAATAAAACTGATATGCCTGTCAAATTAAGAAAAATACTGCTTTTCTGTGGGAGATCATTACTGATATGCACTTGCATGATGTTTTCCAGTAAATCATATTAAAGTAATGAGATTTTAAAGACTTCTGTGAAAAATAGCTCAGAACTCTTAAATTTAAGGAAGAGGCAGTTTAAATATTTCTGATGTGAGAGTTTTCCTACAAAAGTTGAAAATTATAAAAGCTGGCCCCATTCACTCATATAGAAGTCCACTGCCTCACAACACGAAGCATCAAAAGAACGGGCAGTCAAATCAAGCAAGACAACTGCTACCAGAGGTCTGGCAATCTTCCAGGCACATGCTGAGACTAATTTCCTTCTCTTTAATGTGCAGGTAAAACATTACTATGTAGCTATTTAATAAAAATAAATAAATATTAATAGTGGAAATAAAAAAATTATTGCTTCTAAGACTTAATTATTTGAACTAAAACTAATATTATTGTCCTATAATGATTTATAACTTTGCATTATTATTAAAATCCTATAATAGCTATTTTTAAACAAATAAAGTGAACTGGGCAAAATATCACTATCTGGAACAATTATATTAAATACGGGATTGAGTGATTATTATGAAATTTTTAGTATACTTCCTGTACTGATTTTCAATATTTTAGAGTCTCTATAGTTTCACATCTCCATAGCACTATTAAAAGATTATTCAAAAACAATTCCATGACTATCAAGGAGGTAGTATCCTCTAATTTTTAGAAAAAAAATAGATAAATGAAATATTGTTGGAAGCAAACACTCAAAGTGGAATTTCAGCATGATTATGCTCAAAACCAAAAGGAATGAGTTACAGTATTTCTTTCCTAAAGACTGGAATATTCTCTCTATTAGTTACTATTATTCTCTCTATTAGTTACTCTATTCTCTCTAATAGTTACTATTATTTTTGCAAAAGACATTTCCATAACTCCCTTTTGTTTAATAACTTTTATTTTTAAAAAAACCCTGATTTTGTAATTTTAATTACAGCAGAACCCATTAACTTCAATATATTTTTTAACAATTCGTACAGCAGAAACACACAGAGAAAATATTATTATTGTACTTACACACCTGGACTCCGCCTTCTTCCCATCTTAGGCCCCTGTTTGCTTTAAAAACCACTTGCATTTCATCCAAATTTAATTCAGTTGTGAGTTGTACTCACAATTATGTTTCATTTAATTTTCAACTTCTTAGCATAACAGTGGAAGGAAAAGACCTGACTCACTCTGGTGTAGCTCCCACCACTGCTTGATGTATATAGACAGTTTATCAATTTGTCAGTTTAAAGTGAGAAAAGTGAGAAATCAGACTCCATCAGAAAATTCAGGAAGACTATTTTATGATGGTAAAAGTGAATGACAATTTATAAAATTAGGCTGTATTTATCTACATAACTAACAGTACAGAAGTGTAAAATAGTCATACTCTCTGAGGTAATTCACATTATCATATCTACCTACTAAAAATACATTACATTGGGAAAACAGGCAGCAGACTATCTCAGACTGCACTTGAACACATTAACAGTCTAATACTGCCAACAAGGAAATGTCTTCCTCCCCATTCTTATTCCTCCTTCCTCCCATATACCAAACCTGGCTATGCCATCCTATTTCATCCCTAGTGCTAGTTCTGCTACTTGTCAAGCTATTCATTGCACTGATTTAACTCATTAATCTAGCAGAAAACGATGAGATTTTTTTAAATTATTTTTTTCCTGAGTTCATTTTCTGTCATGGTGGAAATGTTAGAAACATTGTAGCACACAAAACAGTCTGCTGAGTGCTAGAACCCACATAAGTTATATATATGGAAGCAGAGGAAAATAAATCATGGGAGAGAAAGAACAGGGACCTGCCCAGGAAGCATTAATCTGTCTCAAGTTTCATGAAACCATGCTTAAGTTACTATTACAAAATACAATACAGTGTTAACAACACACTATGAGGTAACAGTATCAGTCTATCAATGAAAATGCTTTTGTTCTCAGAACATGTATATATATATATATATATGATTAAAGCTGCCTGACAGTTTTCAGTGTTTAATACTGTTAAGAGATTGTGATCATTATGAGGACTATTAACAAGATTCTGCTAACAGACAGTTTAATTTCTTATTTCAAATTTCCTTATCATGGCATAGAATTAGCAGCGCAAATAATTTGATTTCTAAGGCTAATATAATTCTATGACCATGTTTATTTTACCAAATCTGCTCCCCTTGCTTCTGCAAAACCATGCAGAGCTAGTGACCGAGTTTACAAGACCACAAGAAAAATATTCTAGAATTGACTGCTACTTCATTTTTAAAAGTTATGTTATGCTATGTTACAGAAATTCATATAAACATCTTTTCTAAATTTATGTTTCTTTTTCTCCCCATGGTCTTACTGAGAACCTTTTAACATAAAGATGACCAGATACTTTCAGGTAATTAATTTCTAATCAAAATATTTTTGTGTCACTGTCATTTAACTTAAAAGAGTTTTTAATCCTTTTTTGGTGATTAGTGCCTCATCATATTTGCCAAGATGAACTTACCTCCCTCCAGACTATTTTGCTAGCTCCCTCTTCCACCAATCTTTCTTGCAATTTTTCATTGCCCGTATCCTAGTATTATCTATTTTTTCATGGCAAGAACTGTACGGATCATTTGAGATGAAGTTTCGGCTGTATCACTCACTCTGCTCCAGACTTTTTTTCCAAAGAATCTAGCTTCCTCAGAGCAGCTTCTGGTAAAGTTACCTGTGTATTGACAATATTTCCCTTGCATCAAATATCACAACGCACCATAAATAATAAGACTCAAGATCAATCCCTAGAGTACTCCACTGCAACTATTCCTCTGATAATTACTCTTCTAATTCTACTAACCACCTCTACCAGCTCCTTCTCTACAATTCTTTCACTAATTTCTAGCTAAAGTAATAATTTTCCATATTGCATCACATCAAGTATTTCAACTTAGTCCTAATAAATAAGACTCAAAAAACGTAGGCATTTAATCAAGTTATTAGAGCAACAGTGAAATACGGTATGTCAGCTGAGCTATGGTAACAAACCACATGTGTGCTCTTTACTGCAACAAAGAAAGTAATTCAGTTTAGCTTAATCCCCTAAAACAGTGGGGGAAAAGTTGAACCAAATTAGAAGCAGACAGAGAAGCTAACCGATTGACCTGGTACCTTAGTGAGTTTTCTTTATGGATCAATTCTTCTCTTCCCCCAAATAAATTCTAATATCCTTAATAGCATCTTTGAGTTCAAAGAATTTGAGTGCTCTTTATATGAAAAGATATGTAGTCCAACAGGCTTTACTAACTAGACAGAACTTAAAAATGACAGAGTAATTTAGGCTGAAACAAAGATTATGAGGTCATCTGTTCTAACCCTGTGCCCAAAGCACAGCTAATAATAAAGTTACATTAGTTTTCCCAGGGCTTTGTGCCCAGTCTGGTTCCAATCATCTCCAAGAATGGAGTATCCAAGACTGCTCTAGACAACCTGTTTCAATATCTGAGCACCCCCACTGTCAAAATTTTTTTCCTTAGTTTATGAAAGATTGTTTCACAAGCAAATGACTTCTAAACCAACATTTACTTAAAGCAAACCCAGTTTGTGAACATCCAATTCAAGGTAACTTCATATTACAATTCTTACAGTATTTTAACTTACTATCAAAATAAACATCACTCTTTGACTTAAGAAGTTATAGGCAAAGGACTCGTGCTTCAAATCTTACTCTGCTACATTGCATTAATAATACCTTCTGCCAAAGATTTTAATTCAAAATGAATGTATTTTATTCATACCACACCTATTTCTTTAGCTGATCATAAAACTAACAGTACTTCCCCACAAAGTGTGGATATTCTCAGTTCAGTCGAAGAAAGATCAGAGATAATTTCTCCCAAGCTGAGCCTGGGAATCTTAGAGGAAAAGAATTAAAACAATTATTATCTCTCTTTCTGTAACCATTATTTATAGTTATGGTTCTCCACAGTGTGCTATTCACAGTACACCAATAGTGTGAGATGTTTTCACTTTGAGACCAATCAGGTCACAGCTTAGCGAGTGAGACTATAAAGCTCGCAACTTCTTGCTAATAAAGGAATTATTCTAGTTCGCCTTCTGATCCACCTGAAGACTGGAGTCTTTCTTTCCGTCCCTGACTCAACAGCATCACACCAAGCTCGCTTTAATTTCAATTTTCTAGGAACAACACACATTCTGCAACACTCATCTTCCATCTTGGATTTCTATATCACTGTGTTTTCACTATCGCAGTCACAGCCAGTGTACAGGCTACATGTTGCACTCAATTGTTCTTCTCCATGTTCTGCAGATGTATTAGTCAATGGCAGGTTGTCTTAGGTTGAAAGATTTAGCTGGGGTGTGTATTCCATTTGCCATCTGTTAGAGGTGGGGCAGTTTTCCTCTGTTAATTAGACAGTTTTCTTTATCTCTTCCACAAACCAATCCTCCCTCTAGGAAATATCTTCTGTTAATGGGCCATTGAGTCTCACTGCATGACTGATAAAATTATATCATCCCATGGGGAGATGCTCCACCCAGGGGGAGGAGCCAAGCATT